CAGCACCTAATTGTAGCTAATTTGGGAATAAGCTAACTAAGCCTAAAATCCTATTAGGAAAGAAAACCATGCCTGTTTTGTCCCGTTTAGAAAAATGTCATTCTGAGAAATGTCAGTCTATCACTGTGGACTTAATGCCTAATTCTGAAGGTAATCTAACACTATTTGCAGTCATTCCATAAGAATCTATTTGCAGTTGTTGCTGCTGATGCTGTTGTTGATGATGATGATAGTAATAATAATAATAATATCACACATTCAATGTGCACGAGACTTTAAAGCAGGCATGGGGAATCTTTTAACTACAGTGGTACCTCGGGTTAAGTACTTAATTCATTCCGGAGGTCCGTACTTAACCTGAAACTGCTCTTAACCTGAAGCACCACTTTAGGTAATGGGGCCTCCTGCTGCTGCCGCGCTGCTGGAGCACAATTTCTGTTCTCATCCTGAAGCAAAGTTCTTAACTTGAAGCACTATTTCTGGGTTAGTGGAGTCTAACCTGAAGCGTATGTAACCTGAAGCGTATGTAACTCGAGGTACCACTGTACTCAGCAATACATGACTAATAAAGATTTTCAGGCTGCTTACAAACCATACCTTTAAAACACATTTAAAGCACATGACCTCCCCTCCAAATTCCTGGGAACTGTAGTTTGTTAAGGGTGCTGGGAATTGTAGCTCTGTGGGATGTAAGCCACATGACTGAAATGTATGGGGAGTAATTCAACATTGCGCTCCGTTGATTGTTCCGTCGGGGCTTGCCAGCCAGAGCAATCTCTCCTCTCCAACCCCCACCCATGCCAATTTGGGGGGCTGTTGGGGAGAAAGCCCCATTGTGCAAGCCAAAGTCTTTGCTCAGGACTCATCCGTTGAAGTGTTAGGGAATGCATTAGAGCAGGGGTCAGCAAACTTTTTCAGCTGGGGGTCGGCCCACTGTCCATCAGACCTTGTGGGGGGCTGGACTATATTGGGGGGGATGAATGAATTCCTATGCCACACAAATAACCCAGAGATGCATTTTAAATAAAAAGACACATTCTACTCATGTAAAAACATGCTGATTCCTGGACTGTCCGTGGGTCGGATTGAGAAGGCGATTGGGCCGGCTCCGGCTCCTGGGCCTTAGTTTGCCTACCCATGTATTAGGGTACACCACACATTTATCAGAAGGTGTGGATGTTGGTTGCACACAGGGAGGGCTTCTGTCATTTCCATGGCTGAATAGACGCATATATCAAAAATGCTGCGAATTATATATTTTTTAAAGTTTTTAAATATATATGGAATCTTCCATTAGCTCATCAGCGCCATCTAGTGTCATATTTGTATAATACACTTAAAATGCCCTTTAACATTATATTTGCAGCTGTATAGCTGAATCCCAGGTTTCCTGAACACACAGAGCTATCTACTTATCGGCTCTGTTCAGATACTTGGATGAGCCTGCGAACAACCAAAGTGGAGACGGCGGCCATAATCCTATGACACTAATTCTCTCCCTCACACTCGTTCACAGGCTGCAGCCTTGTTTCAAAATCAGGCAATTAACCTGAATGTGCAAGAAGCATTTGCTCAAAAAAGGGGGGGAGTTCCTTCCCCCTTCCCCTTTTCGTCAATCTTAGCAGTGTTCTTTTGCTCCACAGTTTGAAGGCTGCAAGAAGGCCTTTTCTAGACTAGAAAACCTCAAGATTCACTTAAGGAGCCACACGGGAGAAAAGCCTTACCTTTGCCAGCATCCAGGCTGTCAAAAAGCATTCAGTAATTCCAGCGACCGAGCCAAGCATCAAAGGACTCACCTGGACACGGTAAGGGAAGAACGGCATTTCAGATTGCTCTCCTGCTTTGACTCTGCTGTAGCTCTTATTCTCTGCAATTAGAACTTTGAAAGGGGAGATCGTTGGCTATGGAGAATTTGGGGCAGAGGCAGAAGGTTAGATGAAGATTGAATCACACTTAAGCACAGACCCATTGAAATCAGTGGGCCTTCAATTGGTCCTGGCTGAAGTCCCATTGATTCCAGTGGGCCTGCTCTATGTATGACCAGGGTGGAATCTACACATATATATTTAAAAAAACAACACTGTGAAAATGCTTTTTAAAAAACATTTTGAAAAATACATTGAATTTTGCATAGCTCACTGTTGCCATCTAGTGTCACATTTGTAAATTGCACTTTACAACACATTTAAAATGTTTTATTTGCAGCTGTGTAGCTGAGTCCTAAGGGACGCAGGTGGCACTGTGGGTTAAACCACAGAGCCTAGGACTTGCCGATCAGAGGGTCGGCGGTTCGAATCCCCGCAACTGGGTGAGCTACCGTTGCTCGGTCCCTGCTCCTGCCAACCTAGCAGTTCAAAAGCATGTCAAAGTGCAAACTGCACCTATTTATCTACTTGCACTTTGACATGCTTTTGAACTGCTCGGTTGGCAGGAGCAGGGACTGAGCAACGGGAGCTCACCCCGTCGCGGGGATTCGAACCGCCAACCTTCCGATCGGCAAGTCCTAGGCTCTGTGGTTTAGCCCACAGCGCCACCCGCATCCCTAATACACACAATATATTCCACTAAAAGAGTTTGGAATGTAGAAAGCAACAGTAGCTGTGTTGTTCTATGAGAAAACCACAGTTGGACAGCAACTTTATTGGGACCAACCAAAATGTCTCCGGAACTCATCATCACACAGGATGCTATGCAAAGCAGTGGCATGCAAGTCATTAATTAGCAAAGCTATGGATTAATATTAGATTGTACACTAAGTAAAAAGAGTTTAGAATACTTGCCTACAACAGGTCACAGGCAAAGCATGATATAAAATGTTCATGTATACATTCAGATGTTGACTTCTCAATAATTTCGATCAATTTCAATGCACATACTAATGTGCATCTGTTTTAGTCAACTTTTGCTCCTGAATCCAGCAAGGAACACCCATGGAAGTAAGTTGGCTTTGACTTGCACGCAGTGGCCTTGTTCACATGTAACACTATGCCAAACAGTGGCTTAGCAGGAATGAGCAAGTGCACTGGTGCAGAGTATGAACATCATGGCTGCTTCTCTCCTCCCCTGCTGCACAACCAGGCCTCAAACCATGATTTAGTTTGCTAACCGAGGCTCATGGGTTGCCTCCCCGAAATAGATCATAACTGGTAAACCAAGAACAAGCTTGTCTACAACTTCTGGTTTGTTTACAGCAAGACAAACCCCAAGTCCATGTTTGGATGCAATGCTATGCCAAAGCATGGCTTGGCTCACAATAGGACACTTTGCACAACTATCTTCGTTCACACTATGCCATATTGTTACATACGAACCAGGCCATTGTTGACGTGTGTGTGTGCGCGCGCATCAGGATGCACATCTGCATTAGAGTTGTGAGTCTCATTTGGGTCCCAAGAAAATGGCTGTTTGAAGATGACAAGAATTGGTTCACGGCCATGATTTTCCAGTGCTTGTGGAGTAATACTGTACCCAAAGGCAGGTGAAAGTATGTGCTAATTTGTTTTTATTTAAGCTTGCATCTTGCAGAAGATGCTTCGTTCATTACAATTTCCTACACAAAAAACAGCCCATATCATAAATAATTAAGTATAAGAGTTATTGGTTGAAATGCATAGGTAAAAGTAAAGGTAAAGGGACCCCTGACCATTAGGTCCAGTTATGACCGACTCGGGGGTTGCGGCGCTCATCTCGCTTTATTGGCCGAGGGAGCCAGCGTACAGCTTCTGGGTCATGTGGCCAGCAGGACTAAGCCGCTTCTGGCAAACCAGAGCAGCGCATGGAAACGCCGTTTACCTTCCCGCCAGAGCGGTACCTATTTATCTACTTGCATTTTGACGTACTTTTGAACTGCTAGGTTGGCAGGAGCAGGGACCAAGCAACAGGAACTCACCCCATCATGGGGATTCGAACCACCGACCTTCTGATCGGCAAGTCCTAGGCTCTGTGGTTTAACCCACAGCGCCACCCGTGTAGATCAGGCCTAAAAACACCTGGGAAAGTGTTTCACTCTAATGGCACTGTGTTATACAAATACCTTCCTGCACGGCAACTGTTGCTCATGAAGGAAATTGTGATGAATGGAACAAAATTACGATGGTACAATTCTGGCTAGTAATGCAAATGAAACAATGGCAAAACACAACTTTTTCAAATAAGCTCTAACGTTCTTTTAAAAGCTTGTATTGATAGCAGTGCATGTTTATAATTAGTGTTTAAAGTCAAAAACTTCAATAAACAACCACTGAAGATTCTTTGTATAGCCTTCAATATTGTTGAAGCTTTCAAATGTAGAGTTTGCTTTCTGCTTTGATTTCTTGTCTGCCATATCCGACTAACCTTTCCCCTTCCTTCTCTCTTCTGAAGCAGGTTTCTTCTATATCTCTATGTCTGGGACTTTTCCACAGCTTCTTTTCCTGGCCCACTAAAGAAATGTAATCTCTGACTATACCAAAGGTTTCTATGAGGGTTACATAATTGTAAGTACAAGTGGAGATAATGATTTATTTGATCAGTGTGTGAAATTCAGTCACTCCTGCCTTTGCCACTTTTTGCACCAATGGGCATCCACCATGCCCTGGGCCCTGGCTGAGATTTCCCCTCACCCAGCCAAACTGACCTTTGCTTCCCACATAAAACTTCACTATTTGTCAACATGCGGCTATTGATTCCTACACCCCAGCAGTAGAATGTGCAATGCAGGCTGATGAGCAAGTAAGCAGTTAAAAATAAAAATAAACTATCAAAGATATTCATATGAAATATATGAAATAAGAAAAGACACTTGTAGAAAGAAAGCAAACGGTTCCCTTTCTCTTTCTTACCAGTCTTCCTTACTTTCTATCTCTTAGCTGTGTTTTCAGTGTCATGACCACTCTGCTTGTGGCATTATTCACTATGGTGAATTGCATTACAGTTTGAGTCTCAAACCCACAGGCTTTAAAGAAACATAGGTGTATGTATCTTAAAAACTGACTGAAGAACCTTTCCTCTGTTTGCTTCAGAAACCTTACGCTTGCCAGATTCCTGGATGCACCAAACGATACACAGATCCGAGCTCTCTAAGGAAGCACGTGAAGGCCCATTCCTCCAAAGACCAGCAGGCTCGGAAAAAGGTAACAGGGCAAGGGGGGTCTGCAAAAGCAAGGGAAATGCAAAGGTGCAGTCCATACAGGATGCAATTATTATTATTATTATTATTATTATTATTATTATTATTATTATTGGTGCAAATGCAAGGGAAATGCAAGGGTGCAGTCCATACAGGATGCAATTATTATTATTATTATTATTATTATTATTATTATTATTGGTGCAAATGCAAGGGAAATGCAAGGGTGCAGTCCATACAGGATGCAATTATTATTATTATTATTATTATTATTATTATTATTATTATTATTAGTGCAAATGCACGGGAAATGCAAGGGTGCAGTCCATACAGGGTGCTGCTATTATTATTATTATTATTATTATTATTATTATTATTGGTGCAAATGCAAGGGTGCAGTCCCTACAGTGGCGGAGAGCAGGTGGGGTGGGGCTGGCACGCGTCCCGGGGGCAGGGCGCGCTGCCTGCGGGGGCAGGGCGCCCAGCAAGGGCAGGGGGGCAGCTGTGATGGCACCCTGGGGATCGTGCTGCCGAGGGCGGTGCGCTGCCCCCGCACTCCTCTTCCTCTGCCAGTGAGCCCATATCCAACTGTAAGAACCTACCCTCCAAGTGATGAGACCAGTGCCCATCACCTCCTGGCATGGATTGGCCATGTTGGAGGATGGGCCTTGACAGCAGGGCACAAAAGGGGAAGGACTACACTTGCATGAGGGATGCGGGTGATGCTGTTAAACGACAGAGCCTAGGACTTGCCGATCAGAAGGTCGGCGGTTCGAATCCCTGCGACGGGGTGAGCTCCCGTTGCTCGGTCCCTGCTCCTGCCAACCTAGCAGTTCGAAAGCAAGTCAGAGTGCAAGTAGATAAATAGGTAAACGGAAGGTAAACGGTGTTCCGTGTGCTGCTCTGGTTCACCAGAAGCGGCTTAGTCATGGTGGCCACATGACCTGGAAGCTGTACGCCGGCTCCCTCGGCCAATAAAGCAAGATGAGTGCCGCAACCCCAGAGTCGGCCACGACTGGACCTAATGGTCAGGGGTCACCTTTACCTTTACCTTGCCCTCCCTATTTGTATCTAGTGCAAGAGAAGGCGTTATCAATAAGCCACCAATAAGCCCCCTTGACTGATCAGAGAGATCTTGGTGGGAGTGAGTGGTGATCTTCAAATTCTTAGTCTAGGCTTCCACACATGTGCTCAATTGTGAAGATCTTACTTGTGCCTGACCAGCCTATAACAATTTACATTAATGAAATTAGTATGCCTAATAAAGAATAATAATAATAACCCAATCCATGGATCATGCTTTTAAAATCTGATGTAATTCCTCAAATTATTACTATGCAATAGGTGGTTCCTCAATGCAAAAAATCCCATTAAGATGCATAACTACACAATTGCCCTATGTACTTGTTGATTATTTCACATGTCCCAATCCATAAACTGCTATGATTAGAATGAAAATTCTGCATTTTCCCAAAGAAAATGTGAAACTGTATGTGTTGCCGTTGTTGCTTATTTACTTGCAGTTTCGAATTAATTGTCATACCAAGTTGGATCCAAACGTAGCAGTGCATGAAAGGAAAAACTCCTCCTCTCCACAGAAAGCTTTTGATCCAGCTGAGAGATTTTGCTGGGAAGATGGTAGAGGAGGAGTTTTTTCACCAATTCACCTTTACTCCCTGCTGCTCTCCCACTCTGTGAAGGAAGATTCCTCAGCAAAAGTCAGTTCCCCACTTGACCCACCAGTGAGAGCAAAGCTGGAATCCAAGCCATCATATTGAACCAAAATAGTGATTTACAATACTTTTTAAAAGTCTGTCTTTTAAGGATTAGGTACCAAACTGTTTCTTATTATTGGTGCAAATGCAAGGGTGCAGTCCCTACAGTGGCGGAGAGCAGGTGGGGTGGGGCTGGCACGCGTCCCGGGGGCAGGGCGCGCTGCCTGCGGGGGCAGGGCGCCCAGCAAGGGCAGGGGGGCAGCTGTGATGGCACCCTGGGGATCGTGCTGCCGAGGGCGGTGCGCTGCCCCCGCACTCCTCTTCCTCTGCCAGTGAGCCCATATCCAACTGTAAGAACCTACCCTCCAAGTGATGAGACCAGTGCCCATCACCTCCTGGCAAATAGAAGGGGAAGAAATGCAGGCAGTGAGAGATTTTACTTTCTTGGGCTCCATGATCACTGCAGATGGTGACAGCAGTCACGAAATTAAAAGACGCCTGCTTCTTGGGAGAAAAGCAATGACAAACCTAGACAGCATCTTAAAAAGCAGAGACATCACCTTGCCAACAAAGGTCCGTATAGTTAAAGCTATGGTTTTCCCAGTAGTGATGTATGGAAGTGAGAGCTGGACCATAAAGAAGGCAGATTGCCGAAGAATGGATGCTTTTGAATTCTGGTGCTGGAGGAGACTCTTGAGAGTCCCATGGACTGCAAGAAGATCAAACGCATCCATTCTTAAGGAAATCAGCCCTGAGTGCTCACTGGAAGGACAGATCCTGAAGCTGAGGCTCCAATACTTTGGCCACCTCATGAGAAGAGAAGACTCCCTGGAAAAGACCCTGATGTTGGGAAAGATGGAGGGCACAAGGAGAAGGGGATGACAGAGGACAAGATGGTGGGACAATGTTCTCGAAGCTACGAACATGAGTTTGACCAAACTGCGGGAGGCAGTGGAAGACAGGAGTGCCTGGCGTGCTCTGGTCCATGGGGTCACGAACAGTCGGACACGACTAAACGACTAAACAACAACAACAACCCTCCAAGTGTCCTGATTTTCCAGGGAGTCTTGGAATTACGAAAGACGTCCCGGCTTCTGATTTGATCCCGGAATGTCCCTCTTTGCCACTGAGCTGGAAGAGGAGGGGGATCTGGCCATGATCCCAAGGGGCAGCTGTGAGGGAGCATCCCATTGCCTCTCCATCGCTACCACTCCCAGCCTCCTTCCTTGTGCTGCTCGGAGCAGCTTCAGGAGAGCAGGGAAGGAGGGGGGCTGCCACTGCCAAGGCCCTGCCTGGCATGATGCCCTGGCTCTGAGGGGCAGGAACAAAGCAGAGCTCAAGGAAGCTTGTTTTTTTTTAAAAAAAATAATGCTTTGTGCATTTGCATCTAATCTTGCCCTTTTCTAAAATCTATTTAGTGGTGTGTGTTTTCCTTTTTGTAAAGCTTCCAAAAAATAAAATAAAATCATGATACAGTGGTGCCTCGCAAGACGAAAAGAATCCATTCCGCGAGTCTCTTCGTCTTGTAGTTTTTTCGTCTTGCGAAGCAAGCCCATTAGCGGATTAGCGCTATTAGCGGCTTAGCGGGCTTAGTGGATCAGTTGATAAGCGGCTTAGCGGATCAGCTGTTAAGCGGCTTAGCGGATCAGCTGTTAAGCGGTTTAGCGGATCAGCTGATAAGCGGCTTAGCGGATCAGCCGTTAAGCGGCTTAGCGGATCAGCCGTTAAGCGGCTTAGCGGATCAGCTGTCAAGCGGCTTAGCGGATCAGCTGATAAGCGGCTTAGCGGATCAGCTGTTAAGCGGCTTAGCGGATCAGCTGTTAAGCGACTTAGCGGATCAGCTGTTAAGCGGCTTAGCGAATCAGCTGATAAGCGGCTTAGCGGCTTGGGAAAAAGGGGCGGGGAAAGGAAAAAAACCCTGCAGGAACTCGCAAGACATTTTCGTCTTGCAAAGCAAGCCCATAGGAAATTCGTTTTGCGAAGCACCTCCAAAACGGAAAACCCTTTCGTCTAGCGGGTTTTCCGTCTTGCGAGGCATTCGTCTTGCGGGGCACCACTGTAAATTATAATGATGAGGAGAAACTGCACCTGAAGACAGCCTTTTACTGGGAGCTTTTTAATGCTTGATGTTTTTATTTTATTTTTAGATATGCTGTAAGCTGCGCAGAGTGGCTGGGGAAACCCAACCGGATGGGCGGGGTAGTAATAATAATAATAATAATAATAATAATAATAATTTCTTATTTATACCCCGCCCATTTGGCTGGGCTTCCCCAGCCACTCTGGGCGGCTTCCAACCAAATATTAAAATACAGTAATACATCAAACATTAAAAGCTGCCCTAAACAGGGCTGCCTTCAGGTGTCTTCTAAAAGTTTGGTAGTTATTTTTCTCTTTGATATCTGGTGGGAGGGCGTTCTACAGGGTGGGTGCCACTACCGAGAAGGCCCTCTGCCTGGCTCCCTGTAACTTGGCTTCTCGCAGTGAGGGAACCGCCAGAAGGCCCTCAGCGCTGGACCTCAGTGTCCGGGCAGAACGATGGGGGTGGAAGCACTCCTTCAGGTATACTGGACCGAGGTCGTTTAGGGCTTTTAAGGTCAGCACTAACACTTTGAATTGTGCTCGGAAACGTACTGGGAGCCAGTGTAGGTCTTTCAAGACTGGTGTTATATGGTCTCGGCGGCCGCTAGACTATGTCTAGTCGGAATCTCATTTCCTGCAACTTGAAGCCATGGGTTCGAGTCCTGCCCTCCAGAGCAGGAGAAAACAAGCTTGTTCCACCCTCCTTGTGACAGCCCTTCAGATATTTGAAGAGGGCTCTCATATCTCTCCTCAGTCTCCTCGCTTCCTGATCTTCAGAAGGCTTGGCTTCTAGACGCTTGGTCATCCTAGTTGCCCTCCTCTGCACACGTTCCATTCTGTGAATATTATGAACTGTGTCATAATTTCTAAATAATCATTTATTACTGCTTTAGAATGCAGTCGTACCCAATGCTGATGGAGAGGAGAGGAGCCGAGTTGCTTCTCAGTACTAGAGAGAGATCAATGGAGTGAGGAACTCACTGTGTCCTCCTTTGAGTCTCTTCCTCATTCTTCCCCACAGCTTCCTGGCGTGGAAATAAATCAATGAAATGACCACTTTTATTCCTCACATGCTTAGTATGAGAGTTTACCTTCATTCTTGGTTTACTTTTGTATTCTTTTAACTTATCAACCCGAATCGGAAATACATTTGCTGAACAAAGTGTGGTGCGGGGGGTGGGGCATGGCATTGAGCAAAAGGGTTTTT